GTTAACTGTTGTTCAAGGTAGTACTCCTCCTGACTCTTTCCTTGAACACCTGAAGAGTGATGTCGTCTTAAAAGCAGAGTCAACCATATATCATTACATTGGTCATTAAAGAAGAGAATGGCCGCTTCATATATATTACTGTCATTTTCAATTGTGTTGAAAAAACAACAACAACGCATAATTGAGCGAATGACCTTGCATATATAAGGCAAAGCTCCTTCTGATCTTATGGTTAAGAAGCACCTACGGAGTGTAGTCGTGTCAAAAGCAGATTCAAGCATATATCCTGACGTTGGTCATTACGGAAGAGAATATGAGCTTTATATACTAGTGTACCTTCTCTAATTTTTTTCTCTCCTACATTTTGAAGACCACTCCACTCATCGGAGCTGCACAGAATGGTCACAGGGATATTGTTCGGTTGCTTATAAAGAACGGAGCTGATGTCAATAAAGAAAGATGGGTACGTTAGAAGGATAAAATTATATTTGTAATGTAGAGTTAAGTGAAAATCGGATGGTGAAATTTTAATTTGACTTTTCAGTTGTTTTTGCTCTTGGGCAAACTGTCGTAAGAAGTAGTGAGCTATTTCTGTTTCCTTCTCGTTGTTTCTTTTGTAGCGTGATAGTGCCGCCCTAGACATTAGGATAGATAACAAGGCAGACCTGGCCACAAAAGATTTGGACTACAACTTTTTTTAGGGAATGGCTGAATTTGTTTAGAATCGGAAACATTTGGATGCCCTGAACTTTTATAGCTAATTGCAACAGATTCACTATGATTAAGTCGTTGTTCCCTCGACTTAACTGCTGGGAAATTGCGTGGTGATAAATTAAAAATATTTAAAGTGATTTGTCAGTCTCATTGCGTATCCTGTACCCCTCATTAAAAAACAAAAAAAAGAAACAGCACAAGAACAAAACACGTAATCAAGCGAATAAGCTCTCGTGCATTCCTAGAACACGCTATTGTTTTGCAATTAATGAACCAAATAAAGAGGCACGATTGGATATAGCTCTTAAATGAGAACGGTGAGCTGTATTTCTTATTCATAATTTTGTTGTACAAATTTTTGTGAAGTGCTACTTGAAAAAGTATTCGCTTAAAAAGTTAAACGCCCATTAGTTCCAAATCGAGTATTATGTAGTTTATATACTTTATAAAGTTTTGTGTGATTTTGTTAACTGTTGTTCAAGGTAGTACTCCTCCTGATCGATTCCTTGAACACCTGAAGAGTGATGTCGTCTTAAAAGCAGAGTCAACCATATATCATTACATTGGTCATTAAAGAAGAGAATGGCCGCTTCATATATATTACTGTCATTTTCAATTGTGTTGAAAAAACAACAACAACGCATAATCGAGCGAATGACCTTGCACATATAAGGCAAAACTCCTTCTGACCTTATGCTTAAGTAGCACCTACGGAGTTTAGTCGTGTCAAAAGCAGATTCAAGCATATATCCTGACGTTGGTCATTTCGGAAGAGAATATGAGCTTTATATATTAGTGTACCTTCTCTTTTTTTTTCTTTCCTAGATTTTTAATGAAACTCCACTCACTGCAGCTGCAGAGAATGGTCACATGGATATTGTTAGGTGGCTTATAGAGAAAGGAGCTGATGTCAGCAAAGGAGGATGGGTACGTTAGAAGGATAAAATTATATTTGTAATGTAGAGTTAAGTGAAAATTTGATGGTCAAATTTTGTTTGGCTTTTCAGTTGTGTTTGGTATTGGGCAAAATGTCGTATGAAATAGTGACGTATTTCTGTTTCCTTCTCGTTGTTTCTTTCTTAGCGTGATAGTGCCGCTTTTGAAATTAGGATAGATAACAGGGCAAACATGGCTGCAAAAGATTTGGACTAAAAATTTTTTTAAGGAACGGCTAAATTTGTTTAGAATCGGAAACATTTGGATGCTCTGATTTGTTATATTAAAATTTACTTAAATTGTAGCCGTAAGAGGAAAATGGTTGTGCCTCAAATGCTTCGGTCTTATGTTGTTGTTATTATTTTGAGAAGCATTGCTTTATTGCTGAATAGTAGCTCTTCAAACCCACTCACTCTTTCAGAATCTGCTATTGCTAAGCTACATTAAACTTTAGCTTGTTAAGTGAGACTGTTCAGTGAGTTCATGAGTCTTTTTTACCTAACTTTCTAGTTGTTCATCAAAATCAAGACGCTTGTAGATAGAAGAAAGTTCGAAGCGGATGCCAGGGTATGTTTGGTTGCTCTTCAGAAGAAGTTTTAACTTTGTATTAGAAATTTCGCATTGGTTAATTAACCATATTTACCCTCACTATTGAACATAAACAGATAGGTCAATTGGGATTACGCAGGGATATTTCAGGAAACGAGCTTTATGTTATGTGCATTTTGTGAACACTCCACTGTTAATATGAACTTATTGAGCTGAACTTCCTTGATCTTCACTACATCTCAGATGTGATACTAAGAATGTTTCCTCCCTTGTAGTCCCCTGACAGAATATAAAACACTTGAATTTACAATCGTTCCCTTTTAGGAAGCCTGTCGGTGAATTGGTGCATTCTTAGCCGTGCTGTATTCTAAATATTAACTTAAGCAGGCTGAAAAAGGGATATCCCCAATTTGCATTATTATATTCTTTAACTGATATGTGTTAAACATCTGGTGTCAGTGTGTACTTGCTGTGCTTAGACTGAGCACAGTGCTGAGAGTATTCGCTTAAAAAGTTAAAAAAAGTATTCGCTCAAAAAGTTAAACGCCCATTAGTTCCAAATCGAGTATTATGTAGTTTATATACTTTGTATATTTTTGTGTAATTTGGTTAACTGTTGTTGAAGGTAGTACTCCTCCTGACCCTTTGCTTGAACACCTGAAGAGTGATGTCGTCTTAAAAGCAGAGTCAACCATATATCATTACATTGGTCATTAAAGAAGAGAATGGCCGCTTCATATATATTACTGTCATTTTCAATTGTGTTGAAAAAACAACAACAACGCATAATCGAGCGAATGACCTTGCATATATAAGGCAAAACTCCTTCTGACCT